GGGAAAGAAAGCCTTAGCGTACGTCCTGGAGGCTATAGGAAGGACGCCACCTATCGGGGCGCGCGGGGAGGGAGGAGTAACGGCCGATGCGCGCGAGTGAGGCTAAGGGCGTGTCGCGAACGGCAGGGCAGGGCCCAGGCGCAAGTCCTTAGCGCGCCTTGTTGATTGAGAGCGCGGGGGAGGGGCGGAGTCAGAGCTCGGCGGGTTTGGAACCGAGTGGGGGGCGGGCCGTCCTCGGCTGGGCGGGGCCCTTAGGGTGAGGCTGGAATCATCAAGGACCAAAGGCTGGGTGGGGGCGGAGCCAGTTGGAGCCGGGCGGGGCCTTTAGAGCGCGCCGGTCTCCGTTTTCACTGGGTGACCCAGTGGCCTAATGGATAAGGCATCAGCCTCCGGAGCTGGGGATTGTGGGTTCGAGTCCCATCTGGGTCGTACCGCTCACACGTTTTGTAGCGAGCCGGAGCAGCCTGGTAAATTCGTGACTGGGCGCCCCCGCCGGGCTCCTGGGCCGCTTCCACGTTATTAACGCCCGCAGGGGCTGCACACGCCGCTGCCCTGACACACTTTTAATCATGCCGCCCCGGGACGCGCGGGAGCTCGGGGATTCTGGGCGGCCGGGGCATGCAAAGCGGGGCGGGGATGGCTGCGCGCACAAGGCCGGCGAGTCCCGCACCGGCGGGGGCGGAGGGGCTCTTGCCTCGCTCGAGGAGGCAGACGTTCCCCGTGCAGCTCGGTCCGTTAACCCTCCCGCTCCCCGGGCGGAAAGAAATCCCCGTGTAGCGGGGCTGCGGGGCAGGAGACACCTCCCCCCCTGCCCAGCACCTGCGGAGCGGCCTCCTGGGCGGGTGGGGGCTTTTCCTGCCCCGCCCCCGCGGCCCCGGCCTGAGTGGGTCTGGGGCGCAGAAAGGGCGCAGGCCGGGGGCCGGGCCGGAGGCGCCCAGGCGGGTTTGGAGCGCGGCGCCGGTTGCCATGTAAACGCGGGCAGAGCCGGAGCGCTCGGTCGCCAGGGCACGTGAGGGCGCGAGGGAAACCGGAGTCGGCCCCGTGTCCGTCCGAGGGGTGCAGCCTGCCCAGGACGGGGCGTGAGTCGGGGGTTTGGCTCTGGGTGGCCTTTCCTGGCCAGGGCGCTGGGCCGCGGGGTGCCGGCTCCCGCCTTTAGCCTGTGGCGGTTGATGACGCCTCTTCTGTCAGTAGCAGGGGTCCCCCTTTGTTTTGCACTTTTAACGGCCGGAGGGGTACTGGGTAAAAGCCTGAACCAGGGCCCGTTGGAGTCTGTCCACTGACTGCAGGGAGCTTCCGATCAGGGGCCTCGTTCCGTATCCCGGTGGCTCCTTATTGGTTTTCCTTGGGCCTTCCTAGCTGTGGGGTCTAGGGCATCGTTCCCCCTAATTTCTGACAGGCTGCGTGCACAAAACATTTCTTACTGTGCAAATTTGCGTGCGCACGGTGTTTCGGATCTGCACGCGCACAGCTTAGAGGGAACAGTGGTCTGTAGCTCAGGAAAGCTCATGCTCAAATAAATTGGTTAGTCTCTAAGGTGCCACGCGTCCTCCTGTTCTTTTTGCGAATACAGACTAACACGGCTGCTCCTCTGAAACCTCTCATAGGTGCTGCTGGCTGAGCATTTTGAGGATTTGCTGTGCTTTGTTTTTGGCATGCCGTCGGATTATGGTGAGATACAGAGGTAGACTAGGTCTTCGTTTGGACTTAATTTTTGATGTTTTAGGCCCAGATTTTTAAAGGTGTTGAGACATTGTGTTGTGTCAGCATTTCAATGCCGAAGGGATATAGACCGCTAACTCCCTTTGTCAGAAGGCATGGGCGCCTAAGACTCATTTAAAATCAATGGGATTGAGATTCCTAAGCGCCTCTGTCACTTTTGAAAATGGCCATTTTATCACTTAAGTCTTGCAGTGGTAAGCAGCTCGACCCCTAACTACTTTTTAAAATCTGAGCCCTAGTGTTTTGTAGTGAGCCATTGTTCATCACACATCAGGTGTGATGGCATCAGAACTTCAGTGTTCTTTTCTCTATAGTGATTAGGAATGGGGAATTCATCCAGTTTTTCACTGCAAGCCAGTATTGCCACCAATGCAGGGTCTCTGGGGTTTTTCAATAGATGTAATTGGTTGCTAAAATTGTAGTTCTAAACTTCTCTCATAGGGAGAAGGAATCCTCTACTAGGAGTGTTTCACTACAGTTTGCTAACGAACAAGCAGCTTCACCTGTAGTAGCATCAGTGCAAAGACTAGTTTAGACATGTTAACCACCACATTGTCCACAGTGCTACCAGTGAAGCTGAAATTTTAAAATAGCTGAATTTTTAGGAGAAACACCCAGACATAGACACAGCAATATAGTAAAATGGATTGTAGTATACTGACAGTTTTATCAGAAGGTTGTAGCTGTTTAGTGGTTTCTTTAAATCATCAAAACGTCGGCATGGTTCTGATGCATCCCACGTACATCCTGAAGTAGATATAAATTACACCCAGAAAGACAACTTCACTTGCAGCTCCTCACATGTTCATACTCACATCTTGCCCCCTGCATCCTCTACATAAGAAAGAAAATGCTGCATCAGGAGAGAGAGCATAGGCATCTTTTTCTTATTCCTTATCCTCCAGGGGGCACCAGTGCTCACCTAGTCTGGTGTTCAGACACTAACCAGCTGACTTATTTACTATTTGAGGAGTTTAAACAACATAGAGAGTTTAACATTCAAAGATGCATAACAAATTCACTTAATTATTTGCAGGTTGTATTTTATCCTTGCCTGCCATAGCACAGTCCCATAGAAACATATTAGATAAATGTTACAGAACAACTGTGTATTTCATCTAATCCACCCCATTGCTTTTTCTGGTATGTAGCCCCTCATTGTCCCACCCAACCCCAGGAGAAATGGAGAGGAATGCACTGTGCTGGACCAGCTCCTAAACAGCCAAATTAATAAAATATAAATGGTTAAGATGTTTAATGTGAATCCCCAGTTGTGAATTCAGTTCAGCATTGTGTCTGGGTTTAGATTTCTACAATGGTTTTCCCCCACATTAGCATACTTTCAGAATTAAAACATTTAAAAGGCATATTGTAACAGAAGAAAAAGATTTAACACATGATGTTAGGGAAATTAAAGCACAGGGTCACATATGTATTACAATTTCCTTACATATTGCAAACCATTTTAGATATCTAGAGAATAAACTGTACACAGCTATTTGAAATAAGACTTTGTGCTGCTGGGGAATTTGTTGGAATATATAAGACAATCCAGCTATAAAGAAATATCAATTATCTACATCAGACATCAAAGAAATAAAATTTCCACTCTAACTGGTAGCAACCAAAATAAGTTTTCATATACCTTTGGTCTGTTTTATTTAAAATAATTCAACAGACTGGAAGTTTACCATTTACGTCAGTGAGGGCAAATATCCAATCCTAAAGCTGCAGTATTCTCCCAGCCATGTTCTGTCTTGACTGGTAACTTGATACAGAACATGCCCATAGGAGCATTAGAAATCCATAGAGCGATTACATATATTTATTACTGATGCATTGATCATTCTTAGTAAACCATTTAAGCTTAAACTAAGTGATAGATACTACAACATTCAGCAATCTTTTGGGGCCTTCCATTGCATAGCTTTCCTCTGGCTGTAAAGATGGGCTTCCGTAAGCAGGCTACAGGATATTTCTAATGACCTTTAACAACACGTGTATAGTGCTTTTTGTGTTCAAAGCACTATACAGGTATAAACTAACTGAATGATCCTCATAACATCCCTTATCAGACAGTGGGGTAAGCAGCTTCAGTGAACATCTGGCTTGGTAATAAGAAGAAAAGTCCTCAACTGTTTAAACTGGTTAGATAGGAACAAGCATACTGGGCTACATGAATCCCACATCAATAAAGTTACTCTCAAGATGAATTTGGCTCAGTGTGTGTAAGATGAGAGGAGGGGTGTCAGAGTTCTAGATAAAAAGAAAAGGAGTACTTGTGGCACCTTAGAGACTAACCAATTTATTTGAGCATGAGCTTTCGTGAGCTACAGCTCACTTCATCGGATGCATACCGTGGAAACTGCAGCAGACTTTATATACACACAGAGAATATGAAACAATACCTCCTCCCAGCCCACTGTCCTGCTGGTAATAGCTTATCTAAAGTGATCATCAGATTGGGCCATTTCCAGCACAAATCCAGGTTTTCTCACCCTCCACCCCTGGACAGTCTCTACGTAAAACTGGACAGTCTCTACGTAAAAGAATAAATGGACACAAATCAGATGTCAAGAATTATAACATTCATAAACCAGTCGGAGAACACTTCAATCTCTCTGGTCACGCAATCACAGACATGAAGGTCGCTATCTTAAAACAAAAAAACTTCAAATCCAGACTCCAGCGAGAAACTGCTGAATTGGAATTCATTTGCAAATTGGATACTATTAATTTAGGCTTAAATAGAGACTGGGAGTGGCTAAGTCATTATGCAAGGTAGCCTATTTCCCCTTGTTTTTTCCTACCCCCCCCCCCAGATGTTCTGGTTTAACTTGGATTTAAACTTGGAGAGTGGTCAGTTTGGATGAGCTATTACCAGCAGGAGAGTGAGTTTGTGTGTGTGGTTTTTTGGGAGGGGGGTGAGGGGGTGAGAGAACCTGGATTTGTGCAGGAAATGGCCCAACTTGATTATCATGCACATTGTGTAAAGAGTTGTCACTTTGGATGGGCTATCACCAGCAGGAGAGTGAATTTGTGTGGGGGGGTGGAGGGTGAGAAAACCTGGATTTGTGCTGGAAATGGCCCAACCTGATGATCACTTTAGATAAGCTATTACCAGCAGGACAGTGGGCTGGGAGGAGGTATTGTTTCATATTCTCTGTGTGTATATAAAGTCTGCTGCAGTTTCCACGGTATGCATCCGATGAAGTGAGCTGTAGCTCACGAAAGCTCATGCTCAAATAAATTGGTTAGTCTCTAAGGTGCCACAAGTACTCCTTTTCTTTTTGCGAATACAGACTAACACGGCTGTTACTCTGAGAGTTCTAGATACTCATTCAAGTTACTGAAACCGGGTTTTAAAATAAATTGAAACTACTACAGGGAACAGCAGACCTTTCTATTGAGAATGGACAATGACTATAAAAATTTGCAAAATCCCCATATAGTAAGAACTGAAATAGCCAGATGTACAATATAACTGACCTTAAAAAACATGCACCCATTATAACCGACTGTGCATAAATGCTGAGTTCATCCCTCCGCGGCCCCAAAGTAGATGCTGACATGTAGAGGTGATGTGGTCCCTGATTCTGCATGCTGCATTTTCATGCAGTTCCTTGTATCCAATTATGCATTGATACGTTTTGTACAATTTTCCCTCAGAGGTAGGGAAGGAAAACAAGACACCCCCCCCCAACCCCCACCACTTTGTGTAGAGAGTAGGTGTTTAGGGAAGACGCGTTTAATCAGGCAAAGACAGAACTGACATTTAGATTTTCAGGTAATTGTAGCCAGCGTGGGGGGGCTCCATACACATTTCTCTTAGAAAGTGGCAGTGGGAGGTTAGCAGGATTGCGGCAGCTTGGTCTTGCTCCAATGGTTTGTCCAGGGAGCGATTCATGTTTCCCCTAAGGCTGCCTCTCATTAGCATGAACCAGGGGGAAGGGCATAAAAGACTCCAGGTCATTTAGAGTCTGGAAACGGTTTCCTTCAAAATGACAACTGAAGCATTCTGGCTCCTCTGTTTTGTCATGGGACCATCGTCCAACTTGGTGGCAGGTAAGTTTCTTAACATTCCAAAGCAGAAAAGGGCAGATTTGCTGTTTTCAGCAAGGAGGGGAGAGGCTGAGCGTTGCTCTTTCCCACAAAGACTAGACACATTATTTCCAATTCTTGCCCTGACAGCCCTCTCCAGCTGCATCCGTTTCAGCATGCTGCAGCAGCAAGCACATGAGAGCCAAGGAAAGGAAGATTTTAGCGTGTCCATTGGTCAAGAAAACAAGCAGACATGCTTGATGTGTCAGAGGAAGGTGTGTGTCTGGGGAGGCTGGAGAGCACCTGCAAGAAACAGAGAATCAGCTAATGCCATGAATCCTGAGTTAGCCAGTGTTGAGCAGTTTGTGAATTACGTAGTGGTTCATGTGTGTGGTTTCTCGTGTGACTTTTATAGCCCCCCTCCTATTCCCTGTAGGCTCCAAATTTGTGGTTTAGTTCAGCTGTGCTTAGCTCCCACCTGTGCCTTCTGCATGTCAGACTAAACAGATGATTTGTTACTGCATCCCACAAGGGGTATGGAGGTAAAAGGTGCATCTCTCCCAGAGGACAGAAAAGATCAGGTGCTATGTTGCAGTTCTATTTTCCCAGTCTCCAGAGATCTGACAGAGGAACTGAGGGGGATTGGAAATCTGAGTCAAGACAAAATGCTTAATTTCTCCTTAGAAATTCAGTGCTTAGTGAAAGCGTGTCTTGGGGGTAAACATCGCAGGTAGGAGACGTGTTTGAAAGGACTTGTTCAGGCTCCATGGCTCCAGGGAGAACAGCTCCAGGGCACTCTGCCATGTCCCTGGCTTCAGCTTGTACCTCTCCCGCCCCCACTTGTCTCATGGAAATTTCTGACTTCGTATGCATTCAACCCAAATATCAGGAAATCTTTCCCATGACAACAGCTGGTGAGAGCAATGGAGAAGTAATAGTGAGGTCAACAGCTGAGAGTCAGGCTTTGGAGATAAACCAGGACTTTATTCATCTGTGTATGTCAAATACTTCACAGGACGAGTCAGGATCAGCCTCCTACACACTGCAACTGTTAACTGCAAACAGCAAGCACTCACATTGTGTGTGTGGGTAAACTGGTTTTAAATACTCTACATTGGCAAACTAATTGCATGGCAAGAATAGGCTGAAAAGAAAGAGGGAACCACAAATTTGAAGGGGAAAAAACTGCAGGGGAAAGAAAACTCTGTCTAAAAGGAAAGTCAATTTGCTTTGTGAGATTCGAAAGGGGAAAGGGACGGTGTGAAATGAGACCTGGAAATTTTCCCAGTTGGCCTGCACTGTGCTGTTAACCTGCCTGACCCAAAAACACAATTATATTTGAACATAATCATCATTTCTTAACTTTCATTTTGAAATAAAGGGCAGATCTCTCTCAGTCCCATCTTTCTGCCATCAGGAACAAACTGCAAGGGATCATAACTTAAAAGCAATGGCTTTTCTACCAAACATGAGCTTTTTGGGCTCCTTGACAGCTCTATGGCGCACAAGTCAGAAGTCCAAAACACTGGATAAAGATCTATTCAGCAATCCTCAAAGCCCATGAGCATTGAAAAGTCCAGATGACATTGTCAATAAGGCGTCCCATGGATGGGAAAACCAAATAGTTCTGTTGTCATAGCCTTTTAAACAATCAGCCCAAGCTGCACTGTGAATCTGGCTCCCCCGGATGCTCCCTGGACTTTCAGGGCTCTTTCGAGAGAAGGGTTTGTTTATAAATCGTGTTTTTAATTTGTAACAATAATAGTAAAAATGCAGATCGCCAGGGTTCAGCTCGCACACAGCTGGGCCAAGTTCCATGCTGCAGTAACTGGGATTTTGTCTGAAATAGGAGCTAGAAAGTTCCCCTCCACTCTTTCCTGTGTTTCTGGCCCCCGCATTTTTTGAAAGGCTGTTTTGTTGTTCATATCCCAGCTATTTTCCACCCCGCAGCATTTTGGAAATGAGAAGCTAATTCAGATTTTGTCCCACAAGCTATGAGGCCCAGAAAGGCAGGTGCTATCTTTCCTTATGTGGGGACAGTGAAATCAAATGCCTGTCAGATATGGGCACTCTGCTTTATTCCCATTAGTGGACCATTTATTGTTTATATTGTGGTAATGGCAAGGCTTCAATTGCCCCCTCCACTCCTTGTGCCAGGCACTGTACATACATATAACAAAGAAAGTCTCTGCCCCAAAGAGCTTACAAGTCGCCTCCCCCATCCCCCAAAAAAGTTAAAACAATTCTGCCTCTTCTGTTTATTTGTACATAGGAGCCCTGCCCTTTATCGGAAAACCCATTCGGGCACTCAGCAAGGATGGGTATGGTGCAGCAGACTCCACACCAAGCCAAGCTAAGTTCCCATTTAGCGGCAGCAGTATTGGTGAAGAGAATCACACAGAGCATTGGTTACTGTCTCCAGCTAACCTGCAGTGGCCAAAAGCTGCTGACATCCTCTCAGTCTCACCCGACAGAAAGAAAAAGGCCAAGACCTCCGTGGAAAACAATACGGGGCTGAGGAAAGAGCCTCACCAGGATGGCAGGGTCCTGGCTTCTGAGAGCCACATGGAGGGGCCTCCTCCTGCTTCCTTTGACTTCAGTTACGCAAACAGAATGCATACAGATAGGCTTCAGTCTGAGGCAGCGAACAGCATCTCAGCACACTTCCACCATAGAGCATTTTCCCATTATAAAGGCAGATCCTTAACTTTAGCTGAGACGCATCCTTTCCAAGACACAGGGGCAGCTGAGACAGAAGATCCCAATATGGTGGATCACCTCAACCGACCTGGCAAGATGAATCCCTACAAACAGCATGACCCTGTAAGAAACATCAGCAAGCCCTCCTGGGTCACCAACCGCCAGTCATCTAGCCTGCTGTATCACTTCAACGTGCTAAAGAAAGGTAAGGGGGCACCTCTATGGGAAGGGACTTCGTGACCTCTCAGGAGAACAGGGTTACTTACTTTCACTCCTGAACTCCAGGGGCCATGTTGTGTTAATGCTGCACATCCACAACACATGTGCCTGTTGCAGTTCTAGATGCTGACAACAAGGAGAAGGTGTGCCTGACAGAGTGCAGGAGGGAGAGAGATGAAGCAGAGGCTTTCTGTGTGAGTGAATTTGGTAAGACCGTTTTGTTCCCATTGCATTACCGGCAGGCATGGCAGAGACACTCGTTGGGCCATACTACGAGCACATACATTTCCTTTCTGGTTTTTAAAAGCCTTCCTGGGCTTGCTCCAGTCTATTCTAATAACTACTTTTAAGGTACCCATCACAGATATTCCTATATATACACAACAAATAGCATCAATCGTGTTTCACTGTCTCATCCCCTTTCTGTTGGTCTGGCTCTGGCCTTCTTTGTGCCCCTACTCCATCCACACATCACTGTCAGTGCTAAAGCCATTTCACGAGCCATTTCTTATTAACCCACAGCTGGAAACATCTCTCTCCCTCTGCCTTTGTAGCTGTATTGTTTAACTGGCATTGCATTATTTACCTAATGAGTTTTAGGATATAATTTGGATGGAAGACTGTGCCAGATGATGGCCTGAATAGCATGCTCTTGGCATTCAGGACTTTGCTTTAGCTTCTTAGGACTCCTGCCTGCAGCGGTTATGCTGCATTAGATTCTAATGGCCATTATGTCACACACACAGATGGTACAAAAAGATAGTGTAGGTCTGGGTTAATTGCACTGGAAATTGGAGCACAAGTTTTCTGAATGGAGCTGTCTCTCATTATCAAAGAAGCAGAGGATTAGATGGTGTCTTTCTCAATATTTAAAAGCAGATAAGTAAAATACATGCCTAGTACCAGTTAACAGGTGTTTCTATTTCCAGAAAATAAGCATATTATGAGTCATCTGTTTTGCCTGACTAGAAATTAGGCAGTTTTCTACAAATGTGAACATTCCTTAAGTTCCTTCTAGTCAAAATTTTAGAGTGATGCCCAGGACATAGGTCTCTGATTGAGGTCTTGTACTGGCCTTCTGCATATTTCATTCTTTAACGGTTAACAATTTCATTTATTTCTTAAATTTAAAAAAATGCATGTCTCTTAACCCGGCCTGAATGAACATTAATCTGCACTGCCACGGTTCCCCTAGAGTGATCACAGAAAGGGCTTTACTCCTCATGAATTTACATCTAGAGATTAAAGGTCGAGTGGCTGCATCAAAGAGAAGTTTTCACTCCATGAGGCAGGTATGGCCTTGATCTTTGTCAAGGAAGTTTTCTAGCCTTACCTCTTCAGTAACTTTATCACTGTCTGTCTAGAATACATGTGGGGGATTTTCCAGTCCCTCAGTTAACTCAGCCCAGACGTGGGTCTTTCTGAGGCAGAAATGGTGTAGCGCAGCTCCATGTGGTTTGCTAAGATTAAGACTCATGGTACCTTATCAGGCTGCATTGGAAGGACACTGAGCAAGGGGACTATCCCTTCAAATTAGATAATACTCCAGTGTAATAGAAATACAGCATAATACTCCAATGAATGTTTCTTTTTCTTCTCCTTTTCAAGTGAATACTCAACCCTACCTTTACCCCCACTATTCCCAACCTGCAATGTTATCCAACAATACATAGGACTCAACTTTGAAGTACTTTATAAACTTTAATTAAGACTTTTGTTCACTGCAGCATTGTGATTCGTTTAGCGCCTCCACACGTATCATGAGCTGAGTATCAATGTTCCACTAGCAAGTATATCGAGTGATTGTTTTCCCTCTCTCCCTTCTTAAACTAGCAGTGAATGGGATTGTTCATGATGTGGAAACACTGGGGAAAGGAGTCCGCCTGGTTACACTCTTGGTAAATAGTGACGGATTATACAAGATGAGTCGCCTGTATATCACGCCCGATGGCTTCTTCTTCCGAGTTCACATTCTCATTGTGGATGCTTTGAACTGCAATAAACCATGTCCAGATTTTAAACTTGGTAATGAATCCCAGCTAAATCCGGTCAGTTTCTCCTTTGGCTGTTGTGGGATTTCAGTTAACCCAGATTTAACGGGAGTTCATGGGACATTTTGGGCAGAAGGAACTGATTCATTTAGGAACAGGGGGCACACATACCGTTTTCTTTCTGGTTTCCCCGTATCTGCAAAACTAGCCCAACCGTCTGAGAGGCAGAATGGTGAAAGCCGTTCAATCCCCTAAAAAATACATTCTGTAGAATGAAAAGGAGGACTCGTGGCACCTTAGAGACTAACCAGTTTAGTTGAGCATGAGCTTTCGTGAGCTACAGCTCACTTCATCGGATGCATTCGATGCTGTAGCTCACGAAAGCTCATGCTCAAATAAATGGGTTAGTCTCTAGGGTGCCACGAGTCCTCCTTTTTTTGTGAAACCGCCGGTTAGTGTATTCAAAAAAATTTGTGGCACCTTAGAGACTAACCAATTTATTTGGGCATGAGCTGCTACTCTGAAACCTGTCATTCTGTAGAATATTTGCTCTGCTGAAGCCTTCACCAGCAAGCAGACCTGTCTTCTTTTATCCAACTCCCAAAAGTCAAGGTCTTGGGTGGGGGGGGGGGGGTGGGAGGAGAGAGAAGAGAGCTGGCATAACCAGTTCCAGTTTTCGCCCATCTCTTGCTTTATTAGTAATTTGAATTTTGCTACTTTAACAGTTGGTTTTAGCTTAATTTATGTTAAAAGAAAATGTGGCTAAGCTACAATCATCCACAGTGGAGCAGGTGTTTTTCTAAAATGAAACAAGGAAATGAAACCAAACCAACAATAAACCAACCCAGAGTAAGTTACTTGTTGTTTTGCAGGAAGTCGATATATTGTGATGGGTCAGATATACCACAAGAGACGGCAGCTACCTACACCTCTGCTGCAGTTCCTGAAAGGGCGTCTGCGGCCAGGAGATGGGCTGCTAAGGAGCAGCAGCAACTATGTAAAAAGATTCAACAGGAAGAGGGATCGTAAAGTCCAAGGGGCAGCTCACACCAAGTGTAGATGAGGTTACAGTCCTAACTGCTTTACTAGGGCTTAAGCAGCACTGGTATTCAGCTAGTAGAACAAAACTGGTCTCTACTTTAATCGAGTCTGACCTTCCTTCCAGAGTAAGGATCCTTTTAGAGTGACTGCAGCTCAGCTCTTGCTTAATTTGGTCTCCAATACTGATGAGCATCTGGTGTCTTATGTGGTTTATAAAACAATGTTTCTTTCAAAGGTTCTGATTATATAGGTAGATACCACTGTAGTGTACAAAAAAAGAGAAAAAACCCACCGACGAGAAATCAAACCTATTCACTCACTGTAGAGAATATTAACTGGTTAGTGGATTTCTCTTTAAATATGATTCCAAAATAGTAGGTTATCGTTTTTATAATACACAATTTAAATCTTAATGTTTGGAAAATAACCCACTATGATTATTTTTAGAGCTAAATTCTTTTGTCAGCACCTCTTATGTACATCAGGAGTAACTGGAGTCACTCTAGCTTTACACCAGTTTAACTGAGAAGAACAGCGGTCACTTATTGCTTAGATTACTATTCAAAACCGTATATTTAATAGTATTAAACTTTTCAGTGCAATGAGATTTTTAAAAAAAGAGCACTCAAATCCTTAATCTGTAATGGGTTGCATGATCATTTGTAGCTCAAAGGCTGCACAGCATACATATGTAGACATTTGTTTTGAAACACTATCAAAGGATTTATCAGATGAAGAATTCTGACAAAATAAATAAAATTTTTGCAGCGCTTTGATTTCCTCAAAGTACAGAATACTGTTTTTTAAAACTATGAAAACAATGTATAATTATACCATTTTTTCTCGACTATAAGGGACCAGATTTTTCTTGTCATTTAAAAACATGTTCAAAATACATATGCCACAGCATGCCTTATTAGAGCTTACATGTGTGTTCGTTGATTGCTCCATTTATAGATTCCAAGGCTAGACAGCACAATTGTGATAATTTAATTTGACCTCCTGCATAACACAGGCCATGCAGCTTCCCCAAAATAACTCCTAAGCTTTTTCTAAAACATCCAATCTTGATTTTAAACTTGTCAGTGATGGAGAATCCACCATGACCCTTGATAATTGTTCCAATGTTTAATTACCCTGTTAAAAATGTATGCCTTATTTCATTAATTGAATACAAATCATGCACAAATAACCAATTAGTATGTGTACAGTTACCTATTTGCATGTACAAATTATGGTACCGAGGCATGCAAATCAGTCATGCAATTGCATACACATTTTGCATGCCTAATTACTCTTCTAAAGTGGATGTTCAACCCTGAAACTATTGAGTGTATTTGGTATAAAATTTTTCTACGAAGACACGGATATGAGGTTTAGATCTGCAAAACAGTAAAGTTACCTTTGGAATCAGTTCTATGTTGGACCTGATCTTTTACTTTTAGAGCCCTAGTGAGACTTAAATGTCAAAAAGATATTTGTCTAACCCTTTGTAGGAAATGCTGGTATTAAATATTCTTAAATAGCTCCCCCCAATTATCTCAAATCCAGCTTTTTAGCTTTTTTATCAGTTTGTTTTAATCAGCGCTACTCTTCGGGCAGAAACTTAAAAAAAAAAAAGTTCAGGAGGAGACCCAGTAAAAAGATTCAATGCCTTTTCAAAAAAAGGCATCACCTTGCTTAGCTAGTCATGAAAAAGTTATTTTGAAACAGCTTGTGGGGGCCTAGTTCCCCTAACAGTGGGGAAAAATAGCTGCCTTTTAGAATAGCAGTAAAATCTCTTCTTCTTGTCATCAAACTGTTATAAAAGTAGTATCTTGCAGGTGGGCTATGAAAGCTTCTCAACACTGATTTATCAGTCCAAAGTTTATATTAAGCCAGTGAAATTTCCTTTACAATGGGGACCTGGCTAAGCTACCTCACGCCTGTGATATGTATCATCATTAGCTCAGTGGTTTGAGCATTGGCCTGGTAAACCCAGGGTTCTGAGTTCAATCCTTGAGGGGGATTGGTCCTGCTTTGAGCAGGGGGTTGGACTAGATGACCTCCTGAGGTCCCTTCCAACTCTGATAGTCTATGAGTCTATGAAAAGACTGGAGCCTGCTTAAAAACAGTTCAGAGAAGGGGCTTCGGTCAGCGTAAGAAGAAACCAAGCAGAGACTAACACTAGCCCAGATAGCGGCCTGGGACCATGGGCACAGACAAATCCAATAGAAGCAGCTGGTAATTCGGCTTTTCAGAGAGTGCTGTAGAAGTTAAAATTAATTCTAATATTTTTATTTAAAAAAAAAAAGCCAAACCTTGAAATCCAGATGGAAGGAGGTGGAGGCCCCAGCAAGCATCTTTTATTCCTTAGGCAAAGTTAGGGGTAAGTTAACCTAAGTTACGCTACTCTACGCGAATAATGTAGCTGGAGTTGACTTACCCCAGGCTGACTTACCCCGGTGTTTTCACTGCGCTGTGTCGAGGGGAGGCGCTCTCTCATCAACTTACCTTACTCTTCTCGTTCCAGTGGCATGCCGGAGTTGACGGGAGAGCAATCTGCCGTCGATTTAGCGGGTCTTCACTAGACCCGCTAAATTGACCCTTGCTGCATCGATCCCCAGTAAGTGTAGACATGCCATTAGACAAAGATGAACTAAATTTGCCTCTCAGATATAGGCAGCCAAACTTGTGTTCGCTTCAATGAGAGGTTGCATAGCCATGGTGGGAAGTGGGGGAAGAAAGTCACAGAGGCAAATATCAATCTTGATTTCTGTATGAATCTGGCCAGCCAGCCAGAATACATTCATTTTGTAGAGCTCTGTAGAATTCATGTCTGGAACCATTGACTTTTGACTCTGCTGTAGATTTACACCATATAATGAGGTACATTTTTTTTTTTAAAGGCTGCTGAAGCAAAGGACTCTCAGCAAAACGGTACACCTAGGTCACTATGCATTATGGCAGAGTACACCAAAGGATTTAGCTAAAGAGGAAAAAGCATTGTACATCGATTTTTTTTACTTTTACCAGACTATTAAGAAACGAAAATGATAGGGGCAGGCAAGCAAGGTGACATTGATAGAGCAGCGAAAGTACCTTCCCAGAATTGTTCTCATGTGATTTATTTCTTGACATGCAATAGACTTAGAGCACTGACTGCAAACACTGCTGTTGCTTCTAAAACACTATATATTCTTGCTGTAAGTCAGCATTTGTTTGCATTGTCAACTGGGAGAGAAGTGAAGAGTTAGTTTACTGGGCTGTACACACTAGCTAGCTTTTAGAATCAGAAGAGTTTTATCATATGATTGTAGTACCCACAGAGATGCTTGCTACTTGACGACCAGTAGCTTGCATCTATCTAAAAAGGTCACAGTGCCTCCTTACTGCTTTTATTATGGTACATTTCAGTGAGAACAGAGTTGAGCATGGAGAATGGCACATTTACAATAGAGATGTCAGTTGAAATTTTCCCAAGAAAACTCTGAGGGGCTTTTACTTTGGCAGAATAAGACTGTTCCATCCTGGCAGCAACTCAATGCACTGGAGGAAGGGCTACATGAATGTCTCAAGTTTGGGTTCTCTATTTTCAACTGATATTTGAGCGTTGATCAATGATGCCCAGTTTTCCATTTATCCAGATTCAGCAATGCACACTTCCCCCACTACCTTCATCCGTGACAGTGATCTGAAGCAGACACCTGGAGTGGAGGGTGAAGGGTAGCTCCATTGCCCTGGCTCACTTAATACTTCATCTCCCCACCTGAGACAAATAGGATATCAATGGTGGTAATGGACAGTAGCTGGAGCAAGACCACTAGCTTAGGACAAACCAACGTTTGACCACCCCTAGATTTAAACCACTACTCTAGAATAATATTGCACCTGGAGAGTTAAGCCACTAAGGAAATAAATAAACCCTTTATTAGGAAAAGTTGAATTACACAACAATGGCATTTTATTTGTGCCCAACCCCTTATTTGATGTGTATCTATTTTTTCATTTGGCTACACAGAGACTAGGACATCACAACGTTACTGAAAGAGGGAAAAGCAGCAAGATGCTTTATTTTTCCTTTCACATCACAAAATCTTAACCACTTCACCTCTTCCAGAAGGAAGGTATTTATTGTATCATATAATAAGTTAAGAGGTAACAGTCCAATATGTTTCAGTGTCTATTACTTAAACATTTAACTATTCATTGTTTTCACTTTTTGGTAAACCCAGCGTGTGTTTTTAACTGGGGGTGTTTAAAAATATATGTAGATGTCACATACTGCAGACAGATGTTTATAAATCATTTGGATTGCTCTTCCAGACTCTCTTACTGAACAAGATCACACTATTTTAAAAGCTGTACCTGATTTAAAAAGAAAAAGAAAAAAAGAGGCCATTATTTAGAATACTTGCTTTACAAGCTCAAGTGGGGAGGTGGCAAAGTAACTTCTGAATTGCAATAGATTACTAATGAAGCAAAGGAGTGGAAAAAAAAAAGTGAGAATTTCTTTAAAGATCAAAACATTTCATACTCAATTACATTAGCAGTCTTCCAATAATTAACCAATAGGGGGCAGATTACTAAGCATATCAAAAATGTATTCAATGTACAGGAAAGTACATGTGCAATAGAAAACTGGTCTATAGTACAGCTAGCTTTTCATACTGAGTCAGTTTTGCTTTACACAGATTTTAATGATTTCATCATTAAAAGACAGTTTACATTTCACTTTCAGGTTATTTTGTGTGGTGTTGGGATAGCAAATGAGGCGCACATATCAGGCTACACATCTATCTTCATTAAAGGGACACTGTCAAACTTAGGTAGTAAGTTGTTAACTCAGGAAATGTCCCCCCAATTCTAAGAGTCCCTAAAAACCCATATTCCAACAAGCACCAGTGAAAAGGCCAATGCTACAAGTGAAGCAGGCCTTAATAGGACATCAGCAACAATGCTAATGCAGAGACAGAAACAAGCAAATATAACCACATGAATTGCTAAACAGATAAAAGTTTAGACAACAAAAAGGACAAATCTGGCAGGGATTTTTATTTTCAAAACTTTTAGTATGTTTTATTACAAACAATGAAAAGCAAGAAGATTTTAAAAGTAATTAGATGACAGTGTCCCTTTAGAGTGTATTTGCCCCTCAACATTTCTAACAAATTTTACAGGGTCTCTTACTTTAGAACAAAGTTAACTCCTGGTGTTTTTTTCAGCAGGACAAACATGAGTATTTTGCAGCCAATCAACTGGCACACTGAGCACATAAGACACTGCAGTCTCTCCAGTGATTTACCCAGTTCTATTATGAACATATCTTTCTACAACATTTTATGAGAATTTAAAAGCTTTTGAACTAAATTCTACATAAGGACTAATTACATTCGCTCAGGTTTATCTGAGGACCTCTGATGACACAGCATAAAGAAAAACAAACCCCAACTTGGTTTAGTGTGTGTCACCAAAAACTCAAGTTAAAACATAATTCAATAACTTTGGAATTTACATGGTAATAATATACAGAAACAGGACACTGGAGCAACATAGCAGGTCTCAAGTATTATGAATTCTCATGCTTTTAAGAACCAGTTTTAAGTATAATTTTTGAAATACATATTCAGGAATGACACTGGTATTGCAGATATGGTAATTTTTTAAATATATCACTTTTAAAAAAAGACAAAACCACAAAACTTGATAGCTGATAGAGCTAGAAAACGTCTCGACATGTTAGATGGCAATAGAAAAACTGAAAAGATGTCAAGAAAGTGAAAATGTCTATATGAGATTAACATTTCCCTAGCAAGAGAATAATTTGTATTAAAAATTTCTAAGAAGTTATATAAAATTTGGCAATGCCAAGAGCAACATAATCAACCAATGTTTCATTAGAAACACCACCAAATCCGATGTCAAACACATGACTATTTGTCTAGGATGAAATGTCCTATTACGTACAAAAAAAGTACTCTTCAGTTTGCCACAACTATTAAAAACATAGCAATCTATTGGCTACAGGTAGGAAAGTTCTTTTCGCATTAAGTTTCAAATGACATCATATATATGTATATATGAATAAATAGTACAGAAATACTATGAAGTTGTGAAGAGATGCAGAATATTTTCAAAACTCATTAAATTGAGAATTTTCCTTCTGGCATCGAACACAATGCATACAATATGTAGCATTTCTTTTAAGTCAAAGGACAACATAACCTAAATGCAACTACTCTTCTCATAATATTTTAAGAAGCATAAACTGATTTTGTTTTCACACTGAACAATTCATTTTTAGTTTTCACATCTAGGTTAAATGACAATATCTGTACAAAAATGTATGGGTTTTATTAGATAAAATTAACCCAGAAGAACCTGTACACCTGAGCATGTAATTGTAAGAAAACTGTGGTCAGTAGCAATGTCTTACTTCTAAGAAATTAACAGGAAAGGTTCTTGCATAGCAGGGTGAGGTTAAACCCAAGGGAAGCTTATCCATAAACCAGGTAAATCCCAGATCACTGTAGGACAAAGCTAATTGTGAAATAGTGCAAAATGGTTGTAGAGCTGCATAAACCAGCCTTGGCTGATTTACTGGAGGCAGTTAACGTGACAAAGTCACTTACATAAGCAATGTGCAAGTGATAGCTCAGAGAGAGGAGAAGGAAAAAAAGTCTGCAAGTCACATCTTCCTCTGTTGGCTTCCATTTGTCCCTCATGCTAGCTTTCCTTGTACACGAAGAGACAAAACCACTGAGTGCCCTTCCGAGATATAATTACAAACACGTGGTACATCATTCCTGGATGATACTTTGCCTTCTACTTTCTAATTCAGAAGTGGGCAATGAAATTTCTCAATACTGCCTTTATTATCTGATGCAGCAATTATGGCACCACAATAGGATTGTTTTTTAAAGGGACAGTAGTTGCTTAATGAAAAAGAAAAACGCTTTCCCTTTCTCCTTTTCTTACCCTTTTCCTCCCCTACTACTTGGGATACTTCCAATTCCGAACAGACCCCCCCCATCCACCAAAAAAACAAAACTTTACAAACATATTAGCGCACATTCAAAGACACCTACATCTGTGGGGAGAAAAATTATCTCCATTTATTTTGTTTCATTATACATCCATGTTTTGAATTTTAATACAAAAAGAAAAAAAATTAGAATCTGACAAATGTTTACAAACAAGATACCTTCAAATAGATTTTACTCATTTCAGTCTGGTGCAGAGTAAATGACAAATTGTACTGTTATATTCAAGGCAACAGAGTCTGTAGTCAGTCTGTGACCACTTAGCCCAACTTTTATGCAAGCTTAATCATTTTTATCTACCATGAATGATAAACTCATTGTTGATTCCCAGTTTTTTTGTGTGTGCACATGTGTACATAGCAGCTCCTTTCATAGAAAGAAAAGACATCTAGAGGTCTTCTTGTACTTTTACCTACAGGAATCATGTTAAGATACAGAATGGATTACGTGTAACCAGGGCCGGATTTTATAAGAAAAAATAATTAGCTGACAAATGAGGGCAGCAATAAAAAAGCGTCTTTTTTTGCAACAATAAATAAATACAGTCAAAGTTTTCTGTGTGGACTTTAAACCAGCTTCTTCACTGAAGAACAGACGTGGCATTTCCATGGAGTTAAACTTGACCCCATTTACTGTATCTTTTTTCTTGCTTGCTTGCTCTCTCTCGCCAACAAAACAAAGGTTTCTCACTTCTGCCACAATAGTACAACAATTTGATCTTGACAAGAAAGTGGTGCTGCTGATTTTTATTCCTTTGTCCTTTGGACAAAATAAGCCAAGAATATAATTTGACTGCTGTGACCAATAAAAACACAGTTTACATCAAGTCTTGTCAGGATAACCTGACTAAAAACCATCTGGCTTCTTAATTAAAAAATTTTCAGACAACCAGATTCTTGCTGTGTGTGTGTTAGGTTAACACGCTGAACTCTAAGAAGCTGTAGACTGCAGTTTGTTGTTATGAGACCTGCAGAATACAGAAAAAAGTGAATTAAGCACCCTTCATTTTTGAGAACACTGTTTCTCTAAGAGGATGCCAAGGGTCAATCACTAGGAGGGGAATGCAGCCATGTTGTGTCTGTTCATCTTTGGAGACAACCACCATTTAAAACAAGCATCTCTGAACTTTACAGAAGTTTTCAGCTACAGCATTAAAAAAATTCCATTGTATACAAAACATGATGCTTCACTGGAATATCCAAAAATGCCCAAAATAAAATTTTACTAATCAAGATACATAATAGTATTCTGTAATAGGGAAGGCATAAAGACAATTCATAAGTTATTACTTTTGGTAAAATATACAAAATATACCGAAGTTACATTGATTTGGGAAGTCTTTGGATAAACGTTCAAACATAAAAAACTGAACAGTAAAAGAAATTAATACCACATTTTTGCTAATCAGAGTTCAGCGAATCCCCTTTCTAAAGTTCACAGTTTTATTAGTGACTGCAAATAATTAAAATACATAGTTTCCAAGACTAAATTATTTGACTTTGTTTAAATACAGTATTCCAAGGAACAGACAGTTTCTTAATACATTTTTGTTTACCAACATGGCTGCTGGCAAATAATTGTTTCCATTTTAAAAAGAACAGTTAATATTTGGACATTGATCTGGATTTTTTAAGGCAGTTTAATGTCATGGTACTGTACAATAAAAGAAAGAGTGACCCCAACATCCAGTTCTGATTCCAGTTAAAAAGGTCAGACTAAAGATATCACAATCTGCAAGAAAAGAAAGAACATGGATGGTGTAAATGAAAAAGCACAATAAATAAAATGCAGCAATGAAATTAGTGTGCAAACAATGAATGTCGGATAACCAAATATGACTGAATGAAAGAAGCATGAGCCAGTAATGGCCTGATAAAAGCAGGTATCATAGAATTAAATTAAGAGGGTAAACACACAATTGCTTCAGTTGGCCACACCTGCACTTCCCCCATTTGGAAAACTGGCAACTTCCACAAAGATGGATATAAGTGCAGCTTCTAACCGAGTTAACTGCAAACAGATTTAATCCTGAATTGATCTAAACCTTCCAGAATTCAAGTGTAATGGTCAAGTTGACTAATCTACCAACTGACTGTACATAATCAGAATTCAGATTCAAGTTGAATTTAATGAAAGTAATATTTGTAATTATGTCATAGGTGATTTACTGTTGGGATACAAATCTGCAATGACATATGGAGAGTCCTATTACTATACTAGTGTTAAAGAGTAAGCTAGTCTCAACCTAATTATAGCAGTACCACCACTCACAGCTCCCTGGTTTCATGTAAGTCAGTTCATGATACTATGCATTACACATACGGACATATGGATTATAGCCTGAAACGTAGTTGACAAGCTGTATAGTTCATATTAAGCAGACTGCATGTTAGTTTTACAAACAAAGTTCCCAGATGGAATATTCTGTACCAGTCTTTTCCCGCAGAAAAGGAGTTTAAAGCTAAGTTTCTGCGTTTTTAAAAAAAACCTATTAGTCTGCAATTTAAATTTCTATTATTCAATTGGACATTTAATTGCTTAAAAATGAGGGTGAACAGGTTATCTAACTAATACAAAACAACGAGAAAAGATGGAAGTTCGTTAGGTAAGAGTAAGGAATGGTTTACTTTCGCATACATTTGAATTTTCCTTAGATTGTGAGCTCTTTGGAGTAGGGGAGCATACTTCCTTCGTGTTAGGAAAGGACCTGGCACCAGTGGACTGTAAGTAGCTAATAATGATATATAACCTGTATTCAAAACAGAAGCTGGTCCCTTTGATTTGGTTTTCACATTAACTGAAAAGGTCTTATTTATTTTAATGTTCAGTTTCTTTATAATTATGATAATGCCCATATTGATATGGAATTCATATGTTAAACAAAAATTATAAAAATATTTAAGTGGGATAAGGTTCAAGCCCTAAGTTTGACAAAAATCAACAGCTGGAATGTATTGACTCTAGATTCTTCCCTTCCAAATCTAGCTGTAATGGCACGTGTGTGGGAAGAGGCAGGCCTTTATAGGAGTGTAGTAAGATAAGCTTAGGGTAGTAGGAAGATTTTCTAACACAAACTCAGGTTACAGTCATACGATTATCAGCATGGGGAACACTTTGCCTTACCTGCTTGCCTTGAATCCTTTTAGCTTCTGTACAAAGAATGATTCAAGAACCTCTGCACATTGGTAAAAAGGGGAGTCACTTGGATTGTAGTAACGACAGTTATCAAAAATTTTGGTCATATCTGCCACAAACTCTGTCACCTTTTTGTAGTAACGTTTCAGGATTCTTTCTTCCATGGTAGCAAGGTCTTAAAAGAAAACAAACGAACAAACCAACCCACACCTGTTATTTAAAATGAGACATCTTTAGTCTCCCAGACA